CGATAGTAATTTCTATTTTTGATGACATCGGTGACATGGACAAGTCCGAGGCTGGTTGAGGATTCGATGGGATCACAATGTGGGACGGTAATTGGCGACGGTTAGACATGGTGTACATTTTGCTAACAAGAAAGAGGTACAAACAGCCGTGGGGAATGGACATTGCGACAGGGTCGGGCATGTCGGGTAAAATATAGTCGTCCCTATACGTGGGCCGCTGAATGCGAGACGAAAGGACCGAAGTACCCAGAAGAACTTCTCCACGGCACTACTTGCTTGTGGAAATGTCGAGCTACCCTGCAAAAAGACACAAATACTTGGAGAATGGTGGTATGGGTCGAGAGCCACAACTGTCTTGGTGCAACCACAAGAAACGAAGGTCGTAACTTGACGTCCACAATGATTGCTCGATTGATCATAGCCAATGTCCGAAAAGATCCAGGTTATTCAGTCGCACAGATCCAAGTCGAAGTAAATAAGAGATACGAGGTCACCCCAATTACAAAAAGGCATGGCATGGTCGAAGAAAAGCACTTGAGAGTCTCAGTATGGCACATGGGAAAACAACTTTCAACAAGCGCCGGTTTCGGGAAGCATTGCTCAAAGCGAACCCGGATACCCGTATGCAGTTTAAGTTCACTAAAGATACCAAGAATCGGAAGAAGAAGGTGTGCAGGTACATTTTTTGGGCATTTGGGCCAGCTATACATTTATTTAGAGCTGCTTGGCCGGTCATAACCGTCGACGCCACCCACCTCCGAGGTTCATACAAAGCAACATTGATCGTGGCATGTGTGAAGTGCTCGAATAACACAATTGTTCCCATCGCGTTTGCTCGTGGATAAAGAGACATTGCACAGCTGGAAATGGTTCCTTAAATACCTGAAAACATTTGTTCTACTTGACAAGGAGACATGCATTATCTCTGATCGCCATACAGGTATTGTTGCTGCTATGGATGTTATGCTTGATAAATTTCCAGGGATGGGAGTGCACCGTTATTGTCTGCGGCACATCAAAGCAAATTTAGCTGGCAATTTTCTGGCGAAACTCAAAAGACCTTGTCAAAGGGCTTGTTCAATGTTGCAAAAGGGAAGTTTGAAAAGAATGGATGAATTTAGAAAGTAAAAATAGAGATGCAGCCATATATCTTCAGCAAATCGGTCTTGAGAAGTGTACCCGTTATTGGGACGGGGGATATCGTTGGGGAGAAATGACTTCGAACATATCCGAGAGTTTTAATAATGTCTTAAAAGGTTGCCGGATGCTCCCTATCACTGCTTTGATTCTTGCCACATTGTATAAGACTAACAAGTTGTTTCAAGAAAACATTGATGAAATTGACAAATGCCATTCACCCCTCGCGACGAATCCCATGAAACGGTATGAGGATTACCGTATACATCAGATGGGTCACGAGGTTACCAGATTTAGCAAGAGGAATCAGAAGTACCAAGTGGTCACGTACTCACCACCTGATCGGCCATGGAAGGGTGGAAATATCCATGAGGTAAACTACGCCGCCAGGATGTGCACATGTAACAAGTGGGAGACATACAGGTTTCCTTGCTCCCATGCGCTTGCTGTTGCCAGGTATCTACGTCATGATCCATTACCGCTTTTTGATTCATTTTATAGTAGGGAACAATGGGCTATTCAGTTTTCTCGAGAATTCAACCCAGTCCTTCAACCATGGCCACAAGCGACGTGGCATCTGAGGCCTGATGATACGTTACTCGTACACCATGCTGGCCCAGGTCGGAAGCGTGTGAATCGAAAGAAAGGACTTATGGATTATACGAAAAAATCTGGTAACAAGAGAGTTCAAGTTTGTGGTCGATGTCATCAAGAAGGCCATAATGCCAGTGCATGCGTAGTTGAGAAAGTTTGCGCGCGATGTGGAGGATTCGATCATGATACCTTCAACTGCGCATTCTCACATCCATCTTCAGACAGGACTCCTTTGAATCATTCTTACGATCGATATGGAATGCATGGTGTACCCCATATGCAGACTGATGATTCTGATGATCAATCTGCAGAATTCTGAGTAGGAATTCAAAGTTTGTGTTTGCGTAATAATCTGAATAATCTTTAAATAGTGGTTCTGGTAGTGTTTGTGTAATGGTTTGATTAATTCTGAGTTTGTATTTGTGTAATGAGTCTAAGAATTCTGAATTTGTATTTGGTATTGGTTTGTGTAATAATTCGAACAATATGCAAGTCTATATTTGTATTTGTGTACTGTCAAAGAACATTAGTAAATGTGAACATTAGTAAATGTAGTTTCTAGACTGTTCCCGGGACCACGAATATTTCGCATAAAGGAAATGCGAACAATATGAAGCTGTCCAGGTCGCACCACGTGGCGTCATCTCCTGGACTCCGTATAGTCAATTATTCGCATAAGGGAAATGCGAAAGTTTGTAATCTGGCCACGGGCGCCACGTGGCATCATCTGGGTTTAGTTCGCATACCGGAAATGCGAACAACTTCAGATCTAAATCTGAAGTACACTTCTCTCCCCGTCGGTTTTTCCCCGGTTTTCACCATTGAAGCCGGCGCCTCCTCGCTCCCCGTCGGTTTTTCCCCGGTTTTCAGCCATTGTTCCCGGCGTCGCCTCTTCCACAAAAGGTAGGTAAGTGTTTTGTACTTCATAATGCTTTGTTTATTTTCAGATTTATGTCGTGTTATTTCGTTTTTGTTCTAGTTTATTTATTCAATTGATTTGTTCGCATTTACGGCCGGCGAATTTAGATCGCCCGGAGTTGTTGTTTTTGTTGTTGTTGTTGTTGTTGTCGGCCGGCGTTGTATTTTTTTTTTGTGTTTTATTTTTATTTAATGTAGTTAGGGTATTTGTATTATTTTGTATTATTTTTATTTAGTGTATTTGTTTTAGTTTGTATATATTTATTTAGGGTATTTGTATTTGTTTGTATTATATTTATCTAGTGTATTTGTATTTGTTTGTATTATTTTGTATTATATTTATTTAGTGTATTTGTATTAGTTTGTATTGTTTTGTATTATATTTATCTAGTGTATTTGTATTAGTTTGTATTATTTTGTATTATATTTATTTAGTGTATTTGTATTAGTTTGTATTATTTAGGGTTATATTTATTTAGTGTATTTGTATTTGTTTGTATTATATTTATCTAGTGTATTTGTATTTGTTTGTATTATTTTGTATTATATTTATTTAGTGTATTTGTATTAGTTTGTATTATTTAGGGTTATATTTATTTAGTGTATTTGTATTTGTTTGTATTATATTTATCTAGTGTATTTGTATTTGTTTGTATTATTTTGTATTATATTTATTTAGTGTATTTGTATTTGTTTGTATTATATTTATCTAGTGTATTTGTATTTGTTTGTATTATTTTGTATTATATTTATTTAGTGTATTTGTTTTAGTTTGTATATATTTATTTAGGGTATTTGTATTTGTTTGTATTATATTTATCTAGTGTATTTGTATTTGTTTGTATTAGTTTGTATTATATTTATTTAGGGTATTTGTATTTGTATTTGTATTTGTATTTGTTTGTATTTGTTTGTATTTGTATTGTTTTGTATTATATTTATTTAGTGTATTTGTATTTGTTTGTATTATTTTTATTTAGGGTATGGAGACGGGATCATCATCGTCTTCGCAGTCTAGACAATATGACCTCCAGCAGGGTCCTATAGATAAGAGTTTATTGGTCCTTCATGATGATCATAGGTCATTCCATACATTTAGGGGTAATACGGCTTATTTGAAAGAACTTTCCGCATACCGAGTGGATCTTGACCTATGGCCGAACTAGACAAGGCTGCCCCACGATACATGCCCAAATAGCAAAGTTTGGTCTAGGGCCTCTTTTGAATTGGTTCCATTAAGTTAGATTGGGCCCTCATTACAGCCTTAGTTGAGCGATGGCGGCCGAGACCCATTCATTTCACTTGCCTATCGAGAGGCGACGATTACTCTACGGGATGTCGAGGTCCTTCGGGTCTGCGGGTTGATGGCCATGCGGTGGTCCAGGGACAGTACCTCCGCAGGATGTGGAGTGGGCCGATTATTTAGAGAGTCTGTTTGGATTCCGACGGCGTCCTAAGGCCACGAAGGATAAGGTAGTAAACATCACAGATATAAAGAGACACATTATGACTAATCTGCTACCCGGAGATGCTACGGAGGATATGTACCTTCAGCGGGCACGTTGTTTTGTCGGATGGATTTTAGGAGGGTTATTGTTTCGATAGCAGCGAAGCAGTTTTCCCTGGGCTGGTGGGGTATTTGGAGGACCCAAATACATTTCGGGAGTTTAGTTGGGGTAGTGCTACCTTTGGCGTGGTTGTACCGAAATCTATGCACTTCCTCGGTGATCACATTGTGCAGACAGGTATTTGTGGCTGCTTACTACTCTTACAGGTAATTTCAAACCGCCCTTGTATTTGTATTTGATTGTTAGTTTTTTATTCATTTTATTTTAATTTTTTTCGATTTATTTTTATTTTTCTTATTTGTAATTTTTTGTTAGAATCCTAATATTTATAATTGTATTTTATTTTTAGTTTTTTAATTATTGTATTTGTACTTTTAATTTCACGTATTATTTTATTGCAAAATAGTTATGGGCTTGGGAGCGGATATTGACTTTTTGTCCGGAGTTACGTGGGCCCGTACCAGATCTTCAGGGGTGTCCCTTGGGCAGGAGGTAATTAATTTTTAACTATTCAATAATTATCTTAATTAGTTATATTTTTTAATAATTTTTTTCCGTTTTTTCAATCAAAACTATATTTTTTTGTAGGTGGAACCGTCCTAGAAAAGTGGGAGACATCACACGATTTAATCTAACCGCCTATCGAGACCAGCTTGCGGTTTTGCAAGAACATAATGTAAGTATTTTTTATTGGAACCATCATAACGTATAAATCAATTTATTTTTTTTCTTATATATTCACATAAATTTTTTGTATTATCTGTCCCTCTACAGTTTGTTTGGATGCCGTATTCTCCTGCTATTCTAGCAGACATTGATCCATCTTGCTCTGCCGGCTCCGCCATATGGATGTCCCAGACTTGGCTGCTTTATTTTGGTATCCGAGAGCCACACATCCCAGGTAGGGTGTTGCGCCAGTTCGGCTTCTTGCAGCGCGTGCCTGACAACACTTTCATCATGGAGAAAAAAGAAATAGAAAAGTTGCATAAGGAGACGCGTGGTAAGAAATGTCGAGATGACGTCTTACAGAGGTGGGAGAATCGACACAACACCCTTGCAGGTCTTCATCAGACGGATATGACTCTTGAACCCCAGGCAGCACCGGAATATCTAGTGTGGTATCAAAATCACACTGTCACTTTGGTCACCAATCCATCAGACTATCGTCAGCCCCAGGGTTTTCAAGGATCTGCTGAGTCACTACATATAATGGTAAGTTACAGTTCTACTATTTCTTTAATTCACACCCATATTAATATGATTTTTATACATATAACTTTCTAAAATGTTATTTCCTATTTTTAATTTACCATATATATGTTCATTTATAAAATATATTTATTATATATTTTTAATTTACCATATATATTTATTTTCCTTTTATAATTTTCAGGCCAATTTAGTGCAAAACATGCGGCATATTACTCTAGATGGGCTACAACGTAATCCAGTTGATTCTTGGAATCACAATGCCTTCCTACAGCTGCACGATTTGACACAGTAGGCAATGACTGTCAGCAAGACATCTGTTTGGGCTGATAGTGAGAACCCAAGGCAAGATTTTGTTCCAGCTGACCCAACCCAGGAGTATATCCCACCTAGGCCTCCCAGGACTGACCGAGGCGGCTTCCAGTTAGGGAGTGGGAGAATGAGAAAACCTGTGGCCACGCAGAATACCGGCGTGCAATCTTCTACCCCCCATGTGTCTCCTTACCGTCCATCATCGCCACACCACCATCCCTCTCCTCCTTTTGAGCAAATGCATTTTGATTCAGATTTTATTAATCTAGATCCTAATGCTGGGGGTTTCTTTCAGACTAGTTACGAGGGTGGTCATCATAGTCAGCATCTAGGTGGTGACGATATCCATCATGATCAGGAAGATGATCAAAATCATGAGGATATTGGGGATCAGGAGCATGATGATGATGCTGATGATGCTGAGCATTCCTCTCATGATCATTATGAGGGCGCTGATCAGGGACAGGGCCCCAGTGATGATACCATGCCTTTTACACCGATTGCTTTGGGTAAGGGACAGCGGAACATAAAAAAGGAGAAAAAGTGCTGCATGACAGATTCTCAGGAGAAAAAGCGCAAGATGTAGAACTATTAGATTGAATTGTACTTTTATTTTATGCTATTTTATGACTTTTGTTATTAGTTTTAAGCAATACCTTTCATTTATTTTCATTACCAATTTATTTCGGTTTTATTTAATCTTTAAGATAAAAAAAAAAACTTTAAAAGGCAAACATTAAAGAAGATAATTTCTCAAAAAGACAATATTATGTACAATTTTTTTAACTTACTTTTATACAATACTATCTTTTTCGTCGTGCCAAATTCAAGTTTCCATGTCGCCAAAAGATCATTGTTAGAAGGAAGTGTGGTTTTATCAAGTTTAGTAGGACTGATTATGTCAGATTCTAAAAATTTAGTTTTTTTCCTTACTTTAAATGAATTGATTCTAAGTTTTATTATGTAAAAAATATTATTATCCTAAAATTAATAAACTTGATTTTTTGACATTATATTTTTAATGATGGTAAGTTTTTAAATTGAAATCAAATAAAAGTCATTTTTTTTAAAAGCAAACTTGGTTACAGAACGCAAGATTATATTCTAATTTTTCACCGAAATTTTAATTTACTTCTTATTCAAATTTTATTATAAATGCATTATACGATTTCTGTTCACCAAATATAATTTTTAGGATTGCAATTCTATTTAGAACTAACATAAATTTACTTAAATCAAATGAATACTTTTAATTTAGAAAATTTAATTTTCAATTAAAATAGTATTTTTTTGTTGAAATGTTACAACATTTTATCAACCAAAATATTTAATTTACAACATTTCATTTTAATACCAATTTAAAGTTAGGAAACAATTTTTAAATGCAGATTTAATACGTTCGCATATGCCAAATGCGAAAAGTTAGATTTCGCATACCCCAAATGCGAACGATTAAGTTAATTATAATTATCCAGTTTTAATCCAACGTCTTTAATGCATTGTAATTAATCCACTACATTTTCGCATTTGCTGAACGCGGAAGTTGATTTGTTCGCATTTGCCAAATGCGAGAAACATATTTCTTTCTACCTCCGAAAACCTAGCCATAGTCCTGCTTACCCTACTAATTTGGGAGTATATTTGTGTCATTTTTCGTTAAATAACTTTGAAGTTTTATAGTCCGTTGGGCATCAAATACGACCTCGTTTTGATGTTCAAGGTGTGATTTTTGTAATTTTGGGGGAAATTAAGAAGATAGGAGGATGTTGAGGGTTTGATTTTGTAACTTTGGGGAAAATTCAGAAGGTCGGCGTTTTGATGTCCGGGGGTGTAATTTTTAATTTTGATAAAATATTGTATTTGTGTGTATCTATTGACTATTTTATCTCCCTTTAAATCGCTGATATTATCATAAATCTCTCGACCAATCAAAATATTGAAATCTTATTATATTAGAAACAAAAACCACACTTAAGAGAAAGCACCACTATTTATCATTTGGCATTTCCACTTCATATTTTTAAAATAAATCTTCACTTTCACATATCCTAGACTTAAAAGGCAAATGCAGTCCATATCCACCTCCACCTCCTATTTTTGCCAAAAACAAAAAAAAACGGGTTCATAAAAAACCCAAATCCTCATCCCCATCTCCACGACAATCGACTCCCTAATCAATCCCTTCTCCACAATAAAAAAAAAATTCCTCATCAATCATCAATTTAGAATATGTGGTGAAATATATTCATTTCCTATTAGCATGTTCAATCTTTTCATTAGTGATGATCAACTACATCCTGATCAGATAAAATTTTGACTTCAAAAAATATTCTCTTTACCTTTCTATATAAACAGAAAAGAAAAAAAAAATTCTCATTGATCTTGTTTCGGCCGTTGTGGTGGTGCAAGTATATGTATTAAAATTTAAATGATTTTATTTCCACAGAGCATTTGTTTGGCTTTTATTATTTTTTATTTTTCCCGTTCAAGAATAGTGTTATTAATATTACTTTTATGCGTCCATCCGTTATAGCTACCGTAGCCGTTGTCAGGTAATATGATGTGATTTCTTATATAGTTAGTTAGCCTAGAAGTTTTGTATGATTTTAGTTTTGTTTGGATTGAATTGATTAATTGAGCTTTTGTTACAAAGTGTAGTTTTTTAAATTTCTTTTTAATGTTTCATTCAATTAGAGTGGTTTTCTTTTTTTAATTATGGAGTCTCAGTTTTTTTTTTCGTATATGGTCAGTTACGAAGTGTGTTTTTTCTTTGTTTAATTGTTTTTTATTTTATTTCATACTCCTAGTTGACCAATTATTATTATTATTATTATATTTTATTTACAAATAAAGCGCGTTTTTTTGTGTTCGGGCTTTCAAGAATATACTTTTTGAATTTTAGTTTTTGGACTTTTTTTAGTTTCTCATCATCTAAATAGTTCAGGTCGCTTCTTCTAACTAATTTTTGGGGAAGCCTTTTATGAATTTGAGGCGGAGAGGGAAAGAATGATATTTCAAGGTTTATTTGTATTTTTATACAACATTTTTACCTACAGAAAAAAATTCTCTATTTTAAATGGGCTAGCTATCTTTTACTTTCTTTTTTTTTTTATTTACCATAGTGAGGTGAGTTCTTTTTTGGTATAACTTGAAACCTATGCAAATTTACATTATTTTCATTCTCATATTTGTGATCAACCAATTTCATCAATTAACCAGTTTCAAAATCATATTTTTTATATTTTAGTACTTATAAATTTTTGGAAGAAATAGTTTCAACAATTAAGCGTATACCCTTGGGAGAAAGCTTACTACAAAGCTATTATAAATCTCCAAAACTAAGTATTGATTTGGTACAACCGGAGAATATCAATAAATTATCTTACTAATATTTAAACTCATTAGGATGCTTTTATATTTTGTCTAGCATTTAATTCAAGACATATATTTGATCAAGTTATTTATATTTAAGAAGTAACACTTATAAAACATTTCTAAAATCTTCAAACATTTCTAAAACGTACGGGGTCAAATACAATTTGTTTTTATGTCAAATACAAACATTTCTATGTTCATACTTATAAAACATTTCTAAATTTTTCAAACATTTCTAAAATATATATTTTTTCCAAATACAAACATTTCTAAGATGTACAGATATATTGGGCTTGGGTCGCGCAAATGCGCGACCAGACATCACTAGTATAATTAGAGCTCGTTCTTATCGAACGGGTCCTGGACAGTCGCGCGTTGCGCGACCAAATCGTAATCCCCAGCTCAAATGATAAATAGTCGTATCAAATATTTTTTTATTATAAATAGATAAATACGGTTGCTTTTACATTATTATATTTTGTTCGTGTTCGAAAAGTATTGCTATGGAGAAAGTAAAAAAAAATAGTTTGTTTTATTAAATTTTATGTCAATAATTCAAATTAAAATTGCTTAAGTGTTTTACTAGGTGTTAGACCCGTCCGATGGACGGGGAGCACATATATATAGACATTACTACACAAACAAATCAAAAAAATGTTAATATTTTTATAGATTTTTGTATTTTTATAAAATATATGATGAATTCATTGAAAAATATAAAACACAAACATCGACAACACTTTACCAAACGAATACACTGGTAATTTATTTAACGCATAAAAGATTGTTAAGAAATTAAAAAAAAATGAACTTTGAATTAAATAATTATAGATCTTGCAATATTTCTTGGTAGACTACATTGGTAGTCTGGGGTGGAAAGGTTGGCTAAGGTGGTTAAGAAATTATGATAAGGTTTTTTTTTTTTTTTTTGAAAAGGTATAATAAGGAATGGTTACTACAGAAACAACAACCCTAACCTGTTGTAGGGGCCATCTAATTTTTTAATAAGAAAAATTAAGAAAAAAGGTTGGATATCATGACCTTTATTCTTTTTCTCGGAGTGACTTTTGTTTTCAGTGTTTTTATTTTATTATTTTCTTTTTTAAATATGATGCATTCTTACTTTCCTTCATTTTTTATTTTTTAGCCTCATTTGTTCGCTTGATTTAGTTATTTCTCATTACCTATTTAATAATTTATCTTTAATTAACTTACCCGTTGTCAGAAATATTTTATTTAAAATGTGAGAGTGGGACTATTTTTTTACCCTTAAAGAATATCCTTTACCTATTCTTTTCTTCATTAATATCTTTCTAGACACTTTCGAAATGTCAAATCCATCCAGCTCATTTTTTTTTCGAATTAAAGTTAGATTTTTTTAGAAAACAATTTTAAAATTTGGTTCAAAAAATCATAAATTTGCCACATAAGATTTAGTATATGTGGCATGATACGATACCATAGATTTTCTCTCTCTGGAGTTTGCTTTACTATAATATATATATAGACTTCTTTTCAGGAAAACAAAGAACCAAAAATTAAGATCCCAATATTTAGCCGCATAGACCCTTTTATATTTGTTGAAAATACGAAATATTTAGCAGTCACGCACTATTAGATAAATAAATTTATCTTATTAAAAAGTATAAATGTTTTTTTATGAAACAGAAATTGGAATAAAAAAAATTAAGTAGATAACCAATTCTACATTCACTATACTATTGTCTGAATGTAGTGTGCATCAGAAATCTATGCAAATTTTCAATGGAATGATGAGTACAACTTAAACTTGATTCATTACCATGATTAGCTAAACAGAGGTAATAATCAAACTATTCTAGATTTCAAAACAAATAGCACCGTTAGAATCATGATTTCATCAGCATTCAAGAAGAATCATTTTGTCAGTATTCAAAGCCGTTTCTTGATTCCGTTTCTGTATGACAAAACAAACAGCTTCTCAGCTATTTTGCATTCTATCCATCTTCAGACCATTTTTGTGAGATCCCGAGTGTTGAGACTTCCTTACTTAACGAGTAGTAGTTGATTCATGTATAAATTAGTATATTTATTTCTAATGTATATATATTTTGCCATTTAGGTTCAAGAAAGATAAACTAAAAATTTAGATTTCAAAACGTTAAAAAAGAAGAAGAAAGAATAGCCATAATTGAAGCCTTTTAATATTTTTATTCTTTGCCAGAGCCATTC